CTACCTTCCCAGCTCTGCCGGTGCCCCTCAATTCCCACCCGCAGCCCCCACAGCTCTGCCGGTGCCCCTCAATCCCAACCCGCAGCCCCCGATACCTCCGCAGCTCTGCCGGTGCCCCTCAATCCCAACCCGCAGCCCCTGATATCTCCCCAGCTCTGCCGGTGCCCCTCAATCCCCCCCTCCTCTCTCAGCCCTGGGCTCCCCACACCATGACAGGAGCTACGCTGGGGTTGGTACCTGGGGCGATGGTGACGACACGGATCCCCATAGGGGCCAGATCCCTGGCGATGGGCAGGGTCATGCCCACGATGCCCCCTTTAGAGGCGGAGTACGCAGCTTGACCCACCTATACAACAAGCAGAGCATTAGCTGGGGCACAGGGACGTGGGGGACTGGCAGGGGAGAGCAGCCTTGGCCCAGCGCCCCACCCCCAGTCCCCTGCCCAGCCCCCTGCAGCACAGCGCCCCCCCATGCCCGGCCCTGCCTGCCCAGCCCCCCACCCCACAGCACAGTGCCCCCCAGCGCCTGGCCCTGACTGCTAGGGGAGAGCGCCCCCAGCCCAGCCCCTTGTAGCACAGCGCCTCCTAGTGCTCACCTGGCCCTCGAAAGCAGCCACACTGGCTGTGTTGACGATCACTCCTCGGTGCCCATCGGAGTCAGGGTCATTCCTGCCCATCTCACCAGCACTCAGTCGGATCACGTTAAAGGTGCCGGCAACATTGACCTGGGGGGCAGGGGAGACAGATCAGATCAAACCAATGGGCCCACCCGGCCCCATATTCCACCCCCCAAAAATCAGACCCATTGGCTCATCCAGCCCATTATCCCTCCTTGGTCCCCTCTCACCACCATGGCGTTGGCAGGGCAAAGGGGATCAGGGAAGGGAATGGAGGGAGGGGGTCCCTCCAGCCCCACTCACGTTGAGGACCCTCTGGAAATCCTCCAGGCTGTGGGGCATGTCCTTCTTGACATTGTAGGTCTTGACGGCCACTGCGATTCCGGCGCAGTTCACGGCCAAATCCAAGCGCCCGAACTTCTCCCGCACAAGGGCCAGGACCCCCTTCACGTCCGCCTCCGACGTCACCTGAGCCGCCGGGCAGGGAGGAGAGGTTAACCCATGTCACCTCCGCGCCAGTCCCCACTCCCCTCCCAGAGCCGGTGATAGAATCCAGACATCCTGGCTCCCAGCCCCCCTCGACACACTAGTCCCAACTCCCCTTCCAGAACCAGGAATAGAACCCAGGAGTCCGGGCCCTACATCAGCTGGAGCAAAGACACATTGTTCCCCCAGCGCTTCGGCCACACTCGGCCCATCCGATGTCGGCAGGTCCACGATCACTGCGCTGGCTCCCTGCTGCACCAGGCGCTCAGCGGTGGCACGACCCAGGCCGGAGGCACCACCGGTGACCAGGCCAACCATCCCCTGGGGGCAAAAGCAGAGGGAGGGGGCAGTGAATACAACAACACCACAATACCACCGATAGCTTTAATGGGCTCTCCCAGACCCCCTCATCTCACGTGCACAATGGACTGTCCCTACACCCCTTTCTTCCTCTGACCATAATGGTCTCTCCCATTCCCCCCCCATCTCATGTGTAGGTCTTTCCCTACACCTCCCTCTTTGCCTGTGCATAATGGTCTCACCCACAACCCCCTCCTAAAGTGTACACACTGGTCTCTTCCTAAGACCCCTAACTCCCATCAGTATAATGGTGTCTGCCTACCGCTCTCATGAGCATAATGGTCTCACCCAAGATTCCCTATGTGTATTATAGTCTCTTCCTAACCTCCCCCAGGAATATAATGGTCTCTCCCAACACAGCCTCCTCCTGCTATTTGCATAATGGTCCCTCCCTGCCCTGCCTCCTCCTGGTGCACAGAATGGGCCTTTACTTCGATTCTCCGCCCCCCCCATCAAATGGTCTCCCCCTCTTCTCAGGCTTATCTTGGTATAGTCCAGCATCGCTCTGCCTGTGTATAATAGTCTATCCTAGCCAGACTCCCCCACCCTATTGTGTATAATAGTCTCGCCTAATTACCACCCCTCTTGTTTGATGGTCTCTTCTATCCCAATCCCACCCACCCCCATTGTGTAGAATGGTCTCTGCCTCCCACGAGAGTACAAGACCTCCAGCCACCACTATTGGTAGAGGACAAAAAGTGTAAAATGGTTTCTCCCGTCCCAGTTGCCCCCCCCGCAGAATGGTCTCTCTCAGACACAGCCTCCCAGTGGTCTCTCCTGCCGACGAGGTGTGGGGGAGCTGCCTAATGATCTCACCCATCCTGTGGTGCCTCCCCCCTACCCCACATAGAATGGTCTCACCCTGCCCCCTCGTTATGCCGCGCTGGTCCCCGCCCGGCTCCCGTAGCTGGCCCTGCTGGTTACCTTCACGCTCCTCAACGCCGCCGCCATCTTGCTGCCCCTCCACGCCCCGCCCCCTTACACAGGGGCGGGCCAATCAGCGGCAAGGCCAGTCTTAAAGGGGAGGCAGACACTCTTTAGTAATCAGGGGCTATTAATCCCCCTCTGGCTCTTAAAGGAGACGGTGCAGGGAGATCTTAAAGGGAAAGAGGGAGGCCAAAGATAGGGAGGGAAAAAATGAACATAGTCATTAAAGGGGAGGAAGGGGTGAACGGGGCAGGGGGAGCCAGGACTCCTGGGTTCTCTCCCCGGCTCCAGGAGGGGAGCGGGGGCTGGTGGGTTAGAGCAGGGGGGGCTGGGAGCCAGGACTCCTGGGTTCTCTCCCCAGCCCTGGCAGGGGGTGAATAGGTTGTTTGTCCTTTTATAGCTTTCCACAGCCCCCCCCACCCCCACCTCTGTCCTCACACACTCACACACACACACACAACGGGGGGGAGGGACGGACTATCACAGTTTATTTACATTTTTTATACCATTTGCTTTACAAAGTGCCCAAGGGCAAGGGGCTGTCGAAGGCCCAGCAGCCATCTTGGAAGCTGGCATGGGGGGGGTCCTGCCAGGTCTCCTGCTGAGCCCCCCTCCGCAGACAGTACTTGCCCATGACGCCCTCCTATCCCGCAATCTCCCACAGCCAAAGGGGCAGAGGCTGCTCCCCTATCATCCCCGCCCCTAAACCTGCTGGCTCTGGAACACTGCTCCAGAAATGACGGGTTCTGGGGTCACTCACACACAGCAGGGGCCAGGGTTGATCTAGAACCCAACCCAGGCGCTCCAGAAGCAGCTCGACTTGCTCCAGAGTTCACAGGCGACATCATGTTGGAAATCACTCGCTGTTCTAGAATTGACTCCCATCTCTGCCATAAACACCCCCACACACACTCTAGAACAGTCCGGTTTGGGTCTAGGACCCAGGGGCCTCCCTCCAGTCCACACTGTAAACCTTGCTCTCAAACCCCGTGGTTCTACCGCCCGGGCCATCTACTCTGGCTCTAGAACCCACTTTACAGGGTCACTCCAGTGTCGCCCTGGATCCGGTTTGAACCCCACCCTAGAACCGTTTAAAAACCTTGCTCTAGAATCCACTGTGCACACTCCGTGTGCTCTAAAACACAGTGGCCTGGCTCTAGAGCCCATTTGAAAACCATCCCCAAACCCATCGTCTCTGCTCCCGAATCCAGCTTCCATCTCAGTCTAGAACTCACTCTCATTCTAGTCCTCACTCTAGAGCCCAAGCCGGGTCACGTTCTAGAACTTGCTGCTCCTGCTCCAGAACCCATTGAATCACCACTCTGGAACCCACAGAAGTTGTTCTAGAACTCAGTCCCAGCCATGGCGGCCATGTTCCCCCTCTGCCGGACTCCATCCATGTCCTCACACTCCCCAGAGAGGACGTGCCCTCATCCCGAGTCCAGCAGAATGGGGGGAGGGGGGAAGGGGGCTCAGTCATCCTCGGTGCCCCCCACGTAGTGGCAGACAGCGTCATAGTCCAGCGCCAGGACGTCCCCATCCTCATCGCGCTGCAGTTGCACCAGCGCCCGGCTCCGCTGCTGGTCGCGCTGCAGGATCCGGCCCACCTGGGGAGGGGAGGGGGGACAGGAAGCTCCCGTGAGTCCTGCGTGCGAGGTGGGGGGGGCAGTCTGCAAAGGATTCTGGGAAGAAGGGTGGCTGCGTACAGACTCCCGCAACAGGGAGGGCTCAGCTGGTAACTTGGGGGGCTTCTCCAGCATAATCCCCTTCACCCAGGAGCCCCCTATATCCCCCTCCTCATTACCCCTGGATCCCCCCGCTCCTGCAGCACTCACCCCCAGCTACCCTGCCCCACACCCTGTGTATCTTCCCCCCAGCTCCCGCGCGTCCTCGGAATCCATCCCCCACCCCTTCAGACTCCCCCCACTCCCTCCAACCCCCCATATGTTCTTTCCCCAGCCCCCCAGAGCCCCTCGGCTTCCCCCCACCCGTGTCCTCCCCCCACCCCTTCAGATCCTCCCCCCTCCACTTCCTCCAGCTCCCAGCCTCCCCATTACCCCCTGCGGTCCCTGCCAGGGAGGGGGTTTGGGGGGGTCGCTCACCCTGCCGGCGTGCTCCCCCAGCACCACCAGCACCCAGTCCGCAGCACCCCTGGGGATGACCGTCTCCAGCATGGCCTCCCGGATGCCTGGGGGGTTGGGGAGGAGATGGGTCAGCACCATACAGTCGGTCCCCCCCACACGATCCCTGGCTCCCTAACAACCTACCCCACAGACGCCCCTCTGGCCTCTCCAACAGTCCCGCTCCCCAATGACCCAGGGTCACCCCACCCCCACTGTAGTCAGCTCGCTTCCCACACAAACCCCCTTACCTCATGGGCACCAGACCCTCCTGGCAAGTGCCCCCTCCCCAGATACACCCTCGAGGTCACCCGCCCCATGGATCCATCTACAGATCCCTCGCCCCCCCCCCAACCCCACAAAACACAAAGTGGCTCTTATAGCATCCCCAATAATCTGGGGTCATCCTGCCCCCCACAACCCTCTCCCCAGAGTCACATGCCCCATATCAAGACATGCTCCCCCATAACCACCCCCAGGGAATCAACCCCCTTCTGCTGGGGTATGACAAAGGGGTGCCCCCCTGCAACTTACCATCCAAGACCTGCCCCTCCTCTGTCCGGCAGACACACGTATCTGGGCTCAGCACGTCCTCGATCAGCATCTAGGGAGAGAGAGAGGTGGGTGGAATGGGGCGGGGCCTGTCCCCTCTAGGGGGTGCCGGCTCCCACCTGGCCCCAGGGCAGGGACTGGCTGGCTCGGGGGCGCCGGGAATGGGGCAGGGACCTGTCCCCGCTAGGGGGCGCCGGCTCCCACCTGGCCCCAGGGCAGGGACTGGCTGGCTCGGGGGGGTTGGAATGGGGCA